TGCAAATTAAAAGTGCCTGGAAGTTCCTTCAAGGTCTTACCCATGGCCGGTCCTGATCATTCTGCCACCCTCGGCCTGACAAATGGACTCCCCTACTAGAATAGTCCCAGTAAGCAAAATTATGTTGAAAAGACGTCTAACAGTTAGGATCCGTTTAGGTTCTGAATGAAAGTTGAACATATGTCATTTATAGACGTCTATGTTTGGGCATAAATCAAGGCTGGTCCAGACCGGACAAAATCTGAACCAAATATTAGACGTCTATGATTGGTTCAGATTTGGTCCGGACCGGGCTGAAAACCAACGTCCGTGGACGTGGAAATCAAGGCCGGTCTGGACTGCACCAAAAAAGACGTCCGGCAAGAACAAAAAAAAAAAGTCCGGCAGGCATCAGCGTCGGTCCGTGCTTACTGAGTTGTAGCCTACAGTGTCGCCTGAAATTGAATTTTAGGAACGGCCATCTATGTGGTAGGCCTACCATTTTGTAAAACACCCACACAAAAAAAGACTGTGGGTCCGAACAGGACCAAAAAAAGACATCCAAAAGATGTCAGCCTGTGCTTACTGGGGTGTAGCTACCATGTCGGCCCTCAATGGAATGTGATGAATGCTCATCCTTGTGGTAGGCCCGCCGTTTGGAAAACAGGATGTTGCATTGGTGTTATTATTCCGGATTACTGTGACTAATCAATTTGGCTATTTAAACTCTGAATATCAGCTACCCAACTTTATCAGGAGGAGTTACCCTGAGCCTATTTGCAATGTGTTTTTCACAGCAGGAAATGCAGAAGTATTTTATTTTTTAGCTATGATCAGCTCGTAAAAAATGTACGGATACAAGCTTGAAACCACTGATCATAAAAGTTTCAGTCTCATTACATTGTCATACATTTTATCTCCAGCCTGTAGGCTACAGGAAAGGCCACATACTCTTTCTACCATATCCTATATCTGCTACATGATTTATGTTAGATTCGTTTTTTTGACGTAATGTTGGTGGAGCGCTGCAGCGCCGAATCTCTCCCAACAGCACCCTGGAGAGGCGCGCTGGTAATGGACAAGATATAAATATTTTTGCGTCCCTGCCTTTGACAAAGTGGGCACTTCTTATCACAGGGCAGCATCAGCGCTCACCTAAAAAGGCCATATGCCACTGGTTGAGAGATATTGTCATTGTTTTTGGCCGGAATTATGTGAGGGTTTATGTGTAGTTGGTCAGTTTAGCTCAGACAATGTTGCCCTCATCAATCTGCTGCCGTAGGAGGCTGTCTAATGAGCGGGCCTCACCTCACCTCGTCCCTATATCTCTCTCTGTCAGAGCTCTTTGTCTCTCTCCATCAGCCCCCCATTTCTCCTCAGAGCACTTTGTTATTTATTCCTCCTTTTAGTCTCCGCCTCTCCAGAGCAGCCAAAAGCTCTTTTATTGGTCAGTCAGTCATCGCTGGGGCTGGGCCTGGTCCAGAGACAGAGGCTCCAGGCAGGCAGCCAGGCCATTAGCTCATCCCAGAGCCTGGGCCTGGTCCAGAGACAGAGGCTCCAGGCAGGCAGCCAGGCCATTAGCTCATCCCAGAGCCTACAACATGTGCTGCCCAGCTCTAGAAGCTGATGGGAGGATGCTGGGTAAAAAAAAACACCCTCCTGTTGGAGAAAAGTTGTCTGTGATTGTGATGCGGTATGTTATCGGAGTTCACATAGGCCTACTTTTTGACTTTCACTGTTAGCTTCTGTCTCGGAGGAAACGTAGATGCTTTGGAGGTAATTGGTTTAGTTGTGGGGCAGGGAGTCAGGAACCAAAATCCCAGTCTTAATACCATCCTCAACCAAGGCACATTTTGAACGTGTCTCTACCCTAACTGGACATCTGGATGCCTGGTTGAAACGTGTGGAAATGGCCTGTCTTATAGCTGCAGAAAGAAATCAATAACCACAGGACAACACATCTGAGAGGTGTTGCATCATGTATGAACTGAACACTGATTGTCAATCACTTACCCTAGCTATCATACCCTTACCCTAGCTATCATACCCTTACCCTAGCTATCATACCCTTACCCTAGCTATCATACCCTTACCCTAGCTATCATACCTGCATTTACCTTTACGTCATTTAGCAGACGCTCTTATCCAGAGCGACTTACAACTTGGTGCATTCACCTTAATGATAGCCAGTGGGACAACCACTTTACCAGTTATTTTTTATATTTTTCTAATTTGTTAATTTTTTTATTTATAGGGTATATTTGTAATATTCACTTGTTTTATTTATATATACATATATATATATATATATATATATATATATATATATATATATATATCTTAATTTTTTTAAATGTAAAAAAAGTTGGTTTATATATTTTTATTTTTTATTTTTGTATTTGTTTTATTTTTGTAATTTTTTTGTGGGGGGGGTAGAATGATTACTTTTATACTATTCCAGGTATTCCTTAAAGAGGTAGGGTTTCAAATGTCTCCGGAAGGTGGTGAGTGACTCCGCTGTCCTGGCGTCGTGAGGGAGCTTGTTCCACCATTGGGGTGCCAGAGCAGCGAACAGTTTTGACTGGGCTGAGCGCGAACTGTGCTTCCGCAGAGGTAGGGGGACCAGCAGGCCAGAGGTGGAAGAACGCAATGCCCTCGTTAGTAGGCTTCATCTTCACATTACTTTCCCTGACATATTCATTCGTTTTGAGTCCGTATCGGAATGAAAACAGAATCTGAATGGTTTTAACAAGTCCTAGTCGTTCCATCAGTATGCTCAGGTTTTCCTGGATTAGTTTACGTGACTGAGCTGTTCTACTGTACTGTCTGAATAGCGTGTTACCGTGGATACAGTGGACTGACTGAGCTACATGTGATTGTGATCATGTGCTGGTCGACTGAGGACGGGGATGCAATGTGTTGTCACCTAGCCTAGTAAACCTGTCTGGGCCTTAATGACATTAGCATATGTTGTTGTTGCATCTTCATGCTGTTTTTGAGCTATTTTAAAACTCATTATCTGTTTCTCACCGTTTCTCTCGCTCTCTCTCGAACTTTCAGTCCTTTTTCAAATCTAAAGCTCCGAGGCAGGCAGATGCTGAAGTGTCAGTCTAACTGAGAAATGTCCTTTCTTGTAATTTTTCCTCTGATAGACGGGTAAATTAGAAAGTTACTGCCTACCTTTCCTGAGTAGAATTCGCATTCAACTAAAAGTCTTTCTATTCCATCGTCATTTTTCAACGGAGCTCATGATGGATCCCTTTTGTGTCTTAATGAGGAAGAGAATCCAGAGATGATGATGATGATGATGATGTTACCACAACAGAGATGCTTCGAACCAGATCATTACTGTGGAATAGGAACAGAATGACTTAACTTACTCAAGTTGTCAAAGTAGAGGGTAGTTCTTACATACTAAGAAGGAATGTGTTCCCAACGTGAATGGTTTTCCAGGTAGATGACGAGGCTAACGGGGATAGTTTTCCAAAATGGCAAACATCTACTGCCAGGCAAGGGGGCACCGTCCCTATCTTTGGTCACCAGGGCCAGTGTCACCGCTAATGTCTGCACCTGTTCCTCCCTGTGTAGCTTTTATGCCTGCAGGTTTCTCCACAGGACCTTTTGATAGGAGCCAAAGTGCTCAATCTAGTTAATACTGTGTCAGTCACTCACATACATACAAATGTCTTCTAATGTTATTCCAAATCTGTCCGTTACTCCCCAAGTCATCATCAGTTATTAAAACACAGGGCCTGTTACTGTGTCTGTTTCTCAAGACATATGACTGATCTGTTTCCTCTCTTTCCAGGCGTCCTTCCTCACGAAGAAGCTCAACATCACAGGGAAGAGGGTGAATCTGGCCATATGGGTGAGGCCTGCTCTCTCTCTCTCGGCATGTTTGACGCTCCGTTGCATCCCAAATGGCACCCTGTTCCCTACATGGTGCACTGCTTTTGACCAGGGCCGTATAGGGAATAGGGTGCCATTTGAGCTATGTAGCTCCCTGCTTTGGGTTCCTTTTCCTCCTTAAAGAAATGATGCCTTCTGGCTGTGAACGTTTTTACTACTACTGAAACATCATGTGACAAACTCATGCATAGTGAGATGACACGCATACACACACACACACACACACACACACACACACACACACACACACACACACACACGCTTACTGTGGTAATGCATTATTATAAGGAACCACAGAGACCGGTTTTTCGTAGTCTGTTTATTGTACAATTCCAATTCCAACTGTCTCGATGCAGAGCCACAAAGGGAATGGAGATGTCGTAAGGGAATGGAGATGTCGTAAGGGAATGGAGATGTCGTAAGGGAATGGAGATGTCGTAAGGGAATGGAGATGTCGTAAGGGAATGGAGATGTCGTTTACTCCCACTGACCATGAGTCAAAGGTGACGTCCCAAATGGCACCCCTAATCCCATAGGCCTCTGATCAACAGTAGCACTACATAGGGAACAGGGTGCCGTTTGGAGTCAAAAGGCGTCTTGGCTGAGCAGCTGTGATCTCTGTCCTGTAACATATGGTCCTGCAGTGATCTCTCTCTCTGTCCTGTAACATATGGTCCTGCGGTGATCTCTCTCTGTCCTGTAACATATGGTCCTGCGGTGATCTCTCTCTGTCCTGTAACATATGGTCCTGCAGTGATCTCTCTCTGTCCTGTAACAAATGGTCCTGCAGTGATCTCTCTCTGTCCTGTAACATATGGTCCTGCCTCATTTGATGCAATAGGAACAGGAATTTGGCATCCATTTTGATTTGAGTCAGTCTGTAGCAGGCAGGGAGAGATGCATAGTTAGTAGGTTATCTGGCTGAATCAGTCTGGCTCACAGGTGTTCCTTCCTTCTTGCCACCAATCTGAAGCCAGTCACTGTCAATGGTTATTGTTTCAAACTACCTTTTTACCCCCAGAGGCTTGATCAGTGGACTTTGGCCTTGAAATAATCTGCTCTCTCTCGCTTTCTATCGCTCCCTCCCCTCTGGCTCTCTCTCTCCACCCCAGGATACAGCAGGTCAGGAGCGGTTCCACGCCTTAGGGCCAATCTACTACAGAGACTCCAATGGAGCTATATTGGTCTATGACATCACAGATGAGGACTCTTTCCAGAAGGTAGCTATGATCTCCTCAGGGAGAACAGCAGGGCTGTGGTCCAAATGGCACCGTATTCCCTATACAGTGCACTACTTTTGACCAGTGCCCATAGGGCTATAGGGTGCTATTAAGGACACTGCCTCTGAAGAGAAGAACATCATTGCAAAAAATTAGTTACATAGAAATGTCCGAATATATATATATATATATATATATATATATATATATTACTGAAATGTTTTGTTTGATTTACATATTCATATTTAATTTGCATCAGTGTCTATATATGTGTTCTAATGTTGAAATGTGTTTTCTTGAACTGTAAATCGATATGAAATGTAATGTTTTGCTTTGTAGGTGAAAAACTGGGTCAAAGAATTGAGGAAAATGTTGGGGAATGAGATCTGTTTATGTATAGTAGGTAAGTTACTGCAGACCATGGCTAACCTTTCACCTTTCACCTTTCAACATGTATTTTATTGTTTGTCACATTTCACCGTGTTAATGGATCGATCTTGAAGGTGCGCAGAGAATTTAGTTTAGTTACGGGCCCTGTAATTAAATAGACATCCTAATAATTTCATAACGTTGCCAGGATGAAGGGAGTCTAGAATATAGTTAGTTTGTCTCTGATATTCTGTTGCCTCCAAATTTCAGTCACATAAGACCGCTGTCAGACAGCTCAATTTGCTTTAAACGCATCCCATGGCTCTCTCTCCCTCTGAAATGTCAAAACTGCAGCCTAGAACTTTCAACCCTGACGTTCACAAAGTTCTCTGACCAGGTAGACCAGCAGCTAGGGAACCTTTCAAATGCAGGAAGAGTTGCATGGAGGAAGTCATTGTTGACTTTGTTGTGGTTACATCCCCCACAATATTTATGTGACATCATAACTAGAGCCCTTTATGTGACATCTTAACTAGAGCCCTTTATGTGACATCTTAACTAGAGCCCTTTATGTGACATCTTAACTAGAGCCCTTTATGTGACATCTTAACTAGAGCCCTTTATGTGACATCTTAACTAGAGCCCTTTATGTGACATCTTAACTAGAGCCCTTTATGTGACATCATAACTAGAGCCCTTTATGTGACATCTTAACTACAGCCCTTTATGTGACATCTTAACTAGAGCCCTTTATGTGACATCATAACTAGAGCCCTTTATGTGACATCATAACTAGAGCCCTTTATGTGACATCATAACTAGAGCCCTTTATGTGACATCATAACTAGAGCCCTTTATGTGACATCATAACTAGAGCCCTTTATGTGACATCATAACTAGAGCCCTTTATGTGACATCTTAACTAGAGCCCTTTATGTGACATCATAACAAGAGCCATTTATGTGACATCATAACTAGAGCCCTTTATGTGACATCATATTAGAGCCTTTATGTGACATCTTAACTAGAGCCTTTATGTGACATCTTAACTAGAGCCCTTATGTGACATCTTAACTAGAGCCCTTTATGTGACATCATAACTCTAGAGCCCTTTATGTGACATCATAACTCTAGAGCCCTTTATGTGACCTCATAACTAGAGCCCTTTATGTGACCTCATAACTAGAGCCCTTTATGTGACCTCATAACTAGAGCCTTTATGTGACATCTTAACTAGACCTTTATGTGACATCATAACTAGAGCCCTTTATTGACATCATAATAGAGCCCTTTATGTGACATAAAACTAGAGCCCTTATGTGACATCATAACTAGAGCCCTTTATGTGACATAATAACTAGAGCCCTTTAGTGACATCATAACTAGAGCCCTTATGTGACATCATAACTAGAGCCCTTTATGTGACATCATAACTAGAGCCCTTTATGTGACATAAAACTCTAGAGCCCTTATGTGACATCTTAACTAGAGCCCTTTATGTGACATCATAATAGAGCCCTTTATGTGACATCATAACTAGAGCCCTTTATGTGACATCTAACTAGAGCCCTTTATGTGACATCATAACTAGAGCCCTTTATGTGACATCATTAACTAGAGCCCGACCCATATGGGAGTTTTGGATCCGATGCCGATTTTAGGGAGGCAAAAGTCACCGATTGTGGCATGAAAAACCGACTTCTTCTTTCTCACAAATTGTGCTCCAATGGATTAACAGATACTCTAAATTTACATTTACATTTTAGTCATTTAGCAGACGCTCTTATCCAGAGCGACTTACAGGAGCAATTAGGGTTAAGTGCCTTGCTTCAAGGGCACTAACGTCATTTAGCAGACGCTCTTAGCCAGAGCGACTCACAAATTGGTGCGTTCACCCTATAGCCAGTGGGATAACCACTTTACAATTGGGGGGGGGGGGGGGGGGGGGGGGGGGGGGGGGGGGGGGGGTAGAAGGCTACCTTTATCCTATCCCAGGTATTCTTAACTAAATATTAAAATGGACACATTATTTAAGAACATCTTATTTGTGGTTTACATGATATCCACCAAAAGGCAAATATATCCTCAAAAAATACAAAAGTAAATACAAACTAGAAGGGCTGAATGAATTAAACTGTCTTAAAGTCAATCTGAAACTGCACTGTTCACAACCAAGACCGTGAAATGCCGTAACATGCAGTTCGTAATGTCACCACTAGATGTCAGGTCATGTAAAGAAACACTTCATGGCAACCTTGCAATGAGAGCTTGTTAAGGCAAGCACACGCTAGCTGTTAATTATGAAAATGTTTTCTTACTGAAACATCATGTAAATTACACTCTTATTCAATACAACATTTTATATTTCAACTGATGGCATGTGCTGATGACCGAAAATGTTCATGCAAGAAAATCCTTTGCCACACTGGTTTTAGTCACACATTCAAATTTTAACTAGCTAGCTAACAATCTTAGCTCATCATGAATGCAAGCACATGGCCTGAATGATAGATCTGCGCCAATTGTCTTGCTTTTTGCTAATTGCATATTTCAGAAAACTAACTGAGTAAACCCACTAACATAATAGGTCCGGACAGTAACAGGTGTTCTTTTTGTATCAAGGATGACTGTTCACTTTAGCACCAGTTCAGTGTTCGCACATAAGTAGCACAGATTGCTAGCTAGCTAGGCTAACTACCTTGGTGGCTAGCTAGCCAGCTAACGTTACCAAAGTGAGAATGTGATGAGGACATGGCTGCTTGCTTGGTGAAGTGTACTTTTAGATGTTTTACTCATTCAAATATGCTGTCGCTGGCTGTGGCAAACTACTCACTGTCAAACCACAATGCCTACTCTCTCTCACGTTGTGATTTAGGGCTGAATGATGTTCAGTGAGCAGCTCAGACGGATTGGTTTATTCTGTGTATATATATTATCGGCGCTTTAGCTGTGGAATAAAGAAACAAGTGTTTTTTTTTGTAAAAGGCTAATATTGGCTGATAATATTGGTCAGACGATTTATCGTCTGGCTCTAATCTTAACTACATTAACTGCTGTAGTAAAGTTATTTAAATGTTTGTTTTCCCACGAAAATTAGGAAGAAAAATGACCAAATACTGAACAAAAATATGAACGCAACAATTTAAACGATTTTTACAGAGTTACAGTTCATATAAGGAAATCAGTCAATTGAAATAAATAAATTAGGCCCTAATCTATGGATTTCACATGACTGGGCAGGGGCGCAGCCATGGGTGGGCCTGGGAGGGCATAGGCCCACCCACTTGGGAGCCAGGCACATCCACTGGGGGGCCTAGCCAATCAGAATGATTTTTTTCACCACAAAAAATGATTTATTACAGTCAGAAATACCCCTCAGTTTCATTGGCTGTCTGGGTGGCTGGTCTCAGACGATCCCGCAGGTGAAGAAGTTGGATGTGGAGGTCCTGGGCTGGCGTGGTTACAAGTGGTCTGCGGTTGTGAGGCCGATTGGACATACTGCCAAATTCTATAAAACGACGTTGGATGCGGCTTATGGTAGAGAAATGAACATTCAATTCCCTGGCAATAGCTCTGGTGGACATTCCTGCAGTCAACATGCCAATTGCACGCTCCCTCAAAACTTGAGACTTCTGTGGCATTGTGTTTTAGTGGCCTTTTATTGTCCCCAGCACAAGGTGCACCTGTGTACACCTGTCAGGTGGATGGATTATCTTGGCAAAGGAGAAATGCTCACTAACAGGGATGTAAACAAATTTGTGCACAGAATTTGAGAGATAAGCTTTCTGTGCGTATGGAACATTTCAGGGATCTTTTATTTCAGCTTATGAAACATGGGACCAACACTTTACATGTTGAGTTTTATATTTTTGTTCAGTGTACAGTACCAGTCAAACGTTTGGACACACCTACTCATTCAAGGGTTGTTCTTTATTTTTTACTATTTTCTACATTGTAGAATAATAGTGAAGACATCAAAACTATGAAATAACACATATGGAATCATGTAGTAACCAAAAAAGTGTTAAAGGAATCAAAATATATTTGAGATTCTTCAAAGTAGCCACCCTTTGCCTTGATGACAGCTTTGCACACTCTTGGCATTCTCTCAACCAGCTTCATGAGGAATGCTTTTCCAACAGTCTTGGAGTTCCCACATATGCTGAGCACTTGTTGGCTGCTTTTCCTTCACTCTGCGGTCCGACTCATCCCAAACCATCTCAATTGGGTTGAGGTCGGGGGATTGTGGAGGCCAGGTCATCTGATGCAGCACTCCATCACTCTCCTTCTTTGTCAAATAGCCCTTACACAGCCTGGAGGTGTGTCGGGTCATTGTCCTGTTGAAAAACAAATGATAGTCCCACTAAGTGCAAACCAGATGGGATGGCGTATCGCTGCAGAATGCTGTGGTAGCCATGCTGGTTAAGTGTGCCTTGAATTCTAAATAAATCACACAGTGTCACCAACAAAGCACCATCGCACCACCTCCATGCTTCACAGTGGGAACCACACATGCGGAGATCATCCATTCACCTACTCTGCGTCTCACAAAGACATGGCAGTTGGAACCAAAAATCTCAAATTTGGACTCATCAGACCAAAGGACAGATTTCCACCGGTCAAATGTCCATTGCTCGTGTTTCTTGGCCCAAGCAAGTCTCTTCTTCTTATTGGTGTCCCTTTAGTAGTGGTTTCTTTGCAGCAATCGACCATGAAGGCCTGATTCACGCGGTCTCCTCTGAACAGTTGTTGTTGAGATGTGTCTGTTACTTGAACTCTGTGAAGCATTTATTTGAGCTGCAATCTGAGGTGCAGTCAACTCTAATGAACTTATCCTCTGCAGCAGAGGTAACTCTGGGTCTTCCTTTCCTGTGGCGGTCCTCATGAGAGTCAGTTTCATCATAGCGCTTGATGGTTTTTGCAACTGCACTTGAAGAAACTTTCAAAGTTCTTGAAATGTTCCATATTGACTGACCTTCATGTCTTAAAGTAATGATGGACTGTCGTTTCTCTTTGCTTATTTGAGCCATAATATGGACTTTGTCTTTTACCAAATAGGGCTATCTTCTGGATACCACCCCTACAACTGATTGGCTCAAACGCAAGAGGGAAAGAAATTCCACAAATTAACTTTAAGAAGGCACAATCAATCAATCAATCAATCAATTTTATTTTATATAGCCCTTCTTACATCAGCTAATATCTCGAAGTGCTGTACAGAAACCCAGCCTAAAACCCCAAACAGCTAGTAATGCAGGTGTAGAAGCACGGTGGCTAGGAAAAACTCCCTAGAAAGGCGAAAACCTAGGAAGAAACCTAGAGAGGAACCAGGCTATGAGGGGTGGCCAGTCCTCTTCTGGCTGTGCCGGGTGGAGATTATAACAGAACCATGCCAAGATGTTCAAAAATGTTCATAAGTGACAAGCATGGTCAAATAATAATCAGGAATAAATCTCAGTTGGCTTTTCATAGCCGATCATTAAGAGTTTAAAACAGCAGGTCTGGGACAGGTAGGGGTTCCATAACCGCAGGCAGAACAGTTGAAACTGGAATAGCAGCAAGGCCAGGCGGACTGGGGACAGCAAGGAGTCACCACGGCCGGTAGTCCCGACGTATGGTCCTAGGGCTCAGGTCTCGCACACCTTTTAATTGAAATGCATTCCAGGTGACTACCTCATGAAGCTGGTTGAGAGAATGCCAAGAGTGTGCAAAGCTGTCATCAAGGCAAAGGGTGGCTACTTTGAAGAATCTCAAATATAAAATATATTTTGATTTGTTTAACACTTTTTTGGTTACTACATGATTCCATATGTGTTATTTCATAGTTTTGATGTCTTCACTATTATTCTACAATGTTGAAACTAGTCAAACTAAAGAAAAATCCTTGATTGAGTAGGTGTCCAAACTTTTGACTGGTACTGTGTGTATATATATATATTTATGTGTGGTGGTCAATGACTTCTGCATTGTAAATCATTAGTTAAACTCACTTTGTCAAGATAAACATGATTGTTACAGGGTTCTAACCTCAATGGGCTCTTCCTGGTTAAATAAAGTATTCTTGCAGTCTACGAGACGTACAGTTGGTGGTGCTAATGTTAAATATACAGTGTGTGATCTCTGAACTAATACGTCCTCTTTGTTCTTCTCATAGGTAATAAAGTAGATCTGGAGAAGGAGAGACATGTATCGGTGGAAGAGGCAGAAGGGTTCGTTTTCTCACTCTTCTCCTGTAACTTTACCGTAGAGACCTTGTACAGCAGGGCTGTTCAGTCTTATCATCCTATGGTGCTATACTGCTTTTGGAATACATTTACATTACTCCTGAGTGGCGCAGTGGTCTAAGGCACTGCATCACAGTGCTAACTGTGCCACTAGAGATCCTGGTTCGAATCCAGGCTCTGTCGCAGCCGGCCGCGACCGGGAGACTCATGGACGGCGCACAATTGGCCCAGCGTCGTCCAGGGTAGGGGAGGGAATGGCCGGCAGGGATGTAGCTCAGTTGATAGAGCATGGCGTTTGCAACGCCAGGGTTGTGGGTTTGATTCCCACGGGGGGCCAGTATAAAAAAAATTATGTATTCACTAACTGTAAGTCGCTCTGGATAAGAGCGTCTGCTAAATGACAAAAATGTAAATGTAAATGTAAATTACCCTTTCATGACGACGTCTAAACAGGAAGTCAACAGACTCCTTTGTTTGTGAGTGTTGATGTAATTGAATGGTGATTTGGTCTGAATGTTGACAACTGAATGGTGATTGGTCTAACTGATTGGTCTGTTTCTCTGTCGATTCCTCTCCTCACAGGTATGCAGAGTCAGTGGGGGCAAAACACTATCACACGTCAGCCAAACTAAACAAAGGAATAGAAGAACTATTTCTGGACCTGTGTAAAAGTAAGCAGCCATTCTGGCATGTTATGGAATAGTGATGAATTTAATGTCTCAGGTTGAGACAAATAAAATACTTGAAATGATTATATTACAATGGACCAACTGGTAGGATTTTGACTTCTGTTGGTAGGACTTCTGAATTTAGTAGATTTGGAATTAAAGCTTTAGTTTGTAGGATGTTTGGCTTTTGTTGGTAGTTGGACTTTCAGCTTCTGTTGGTAGGACTTTCAGCTTCTGTTGGTGGTAGGACTTTCAGCTTCTGTTGGTGGTAGGACTTTCAGCTTCTGTTGGTGGTAGGACTTTCAGCTTCTGTTGGTGGTAGGACTTTCAGCTTCTGTTGGTGGTAGGACTTTCAGCTTCTGTTGGTGGTAGGACTTTCAGCTTCTGTTGGTGGTAGGACTTTCAGCTTCTGTTGGTGGTAGGCTTTCAGCTTCTGTTGGTGGTAGGACTTTCAGCTTCTGTTGGTGGTAGGACTTTCAGCTTCTGTTGGTGGTAGGACTTTCAGCTCCTGTTGGTAGGACTTTCAGCTTATGTTGGTGGTAGGACTTTCAGCTTCTGTTGGTGGTAGGACTTTCAGCTCCTGTTGGTAGGACTTTCAGCTTATGTTGGTGGTAGGACTTTCAGCTTCTGTTGGTGGTAGGACTTTCAGCTTCTGTTGGTGGTAGGACTTTCAGCTTCTGTTGGTGGTAGGACTTTCAGCTTCTGTTGGTGGTAGGACTTTCAGCTTCTGTTGGTAGGACTTTGGCTCCCACAGGACTGACTGTCTCCCTGTTGTTGACAGGAATGATGGAGACGGCCCAAGCGGAGGAGAGGGCGAAGGGTAACGGAGCCAGCCAGTCAACATCATCACGGAGGGGGGTACAGATCGTGGACGACGAGCCCCAAGCCGCCACGGCCGCGGGGGGCTGCTGCTCATCCGCTTAACCCCCCCACCTCCACTTCCCAACTTACCCCATCCTCCCCCTTTCCGACCCCCCCCTTCAACAACCAGGACTGTTGCCTCTGCCCTCAGCCTCCCCTCTCATCTCCCTCCTTATGACATGAAGACTGCTATTCCCCCTCTGAGTCATCGTACACTTCACTCACTACACTTCTCCCTCTATGGAACAATGTGCTGCTTAGACACTATTCTTTATACAGTCATATTCATTCATTGGCACCACCTCCTGACCATCTATATGAGACTTCTGACACCCCCTCCTGACCGTCTATATGAGACTTCTGACACCCCCTCCTGACCATCTATATGAGACTTCTGACACCCCCTCCTGACCGTCTATATGAGACTTCTGACACCCCCTCCTGACCACCTATATGAGACTTCTGACACCCCCTCCTGACCGTCTATATGAGACTTCTGACACCCCCTCCTGACCACCTATATGAGACTTCTGACACCCCCTCCTACCACGTCGATATGAGATTCTGACACCCCCTCCTTGACCGTCTATATGAGAATTCTGACACCCCCTCCTGACCACATCTTTATGAGACTTCTGACACCCCCTCCTGACACCGTTATATGGACTTCTGACACCCACCTCCTGGACCAATCTTATGAGACTTCTGACACCCCCTCCTGACCATCCTATATGAGACTTCTGATGGACCCCCTCCTGACACATCATATGAGACTTCTGACACCACCTCCTGAACCATCTATATGGACTTCTGACACCCCCTCCTGGACCATCTATATGAGGACTTCTGACACCCCCTCCTGACCAGTCTATATGAGACTTCCTGACCACCCCCTCCTGAACCATCTATATGAGACTTCTGACACCCCCTCCTGACCATCTATATGAGACTTCTGACACCCCCTCCTGACCATCTATATGAGACTTCTGACACCCCCTCCTGACCATCTATATGAGACTCTGACACCCCCTCCTGACCGTCTATCTGAGACTTTGACACCCCCTCCTGACCATCTATATGAGACTTCTGACACCCCCTCCTGACCATCTATATGAGACTTCTGACACCCCCTCCTGACCGTCTATATGAGACTTCTGACACCCCCTCCTGACCATCTATATGAGACTTCTGACACCCCCTCCTGACCACCTATATGAGTGATGAAGAGGTGAAGAGAACATGAAAGGAAGGAATCCACCTCTCCTCTGTCTTTCTACAAACTAGCAGATGGACTTCCAACACACCGTCATGAAATACACGCACACACACACACTGTCCCCACCTCTCCCAAATGAACACACACAGACAGACAGTACTAAGTTATAAATGGGAAACACTCATACCCCTGATTTTGGGACTTTTTATTTCTGCGAGGATAAATGTGCATGTCGGGGGTGATCCGTCTCTGAAAGGCTTCGTTGGTTTGTCCTCTTTCTCTAAAGTAAAAACAAACTCTTTTATTATTAATAACTAAAGTACATGTTGTATGGAAATCTGTCCCTTTTGTACTGATTCTTCTGCTGTGGTGAAGTTGTGATAGCTCTCTGGATCCGTCGTCCAGCCCCTTTCTTGGACTGTATCCAGCCCCTTTCTTGGACTGTATCCAGCCCCTTTCTTGGACTGTATCCAGCCCCTTTCTTGGACTGTATCCAGCCCCTTTCTTGGACTGTATTCATGAAGCATCCCGGTAGGAGTCCCACCTGTCTATGTAACCTTGTTGATTTTATGTTCTAAAAGACAAAACTGATCCTAGATCAGTACTTCTACTCTGAGACCCTTTATGAATACAGGCATTGGGCTTAAAAAAAAAATATATATATATATGGCAGGTCTCTCTCCCCCCTCTCTCATTCTCTCTCGTTCTTTCTCTCTGATTTAAAATGCAGATTTTTGCACTGGCCCGTCATTATCAATGCTTTTGATATACTGCGTTTTTCTTCCTGTTTGCCGAGTTGCTCTGAAAATGAAATGACAAAAAAAAATACATTGTAAAAAACAAAAACAAACGTATGATGAGTATTAAAAACGCTGGATATTTTATCTGCTTTTACAAGCTTTGGGAAAACAACGCGCAGGTGTAGAAAAGTGTACAATAGTCTTGTTAATGATTGTAAAATGAAATAACAATTGTGGGTGAAAGCACACTTTCTGGAATTGTACTTTTTTTTTAAACTGCTAGTGTCAAGTGTTTTGTAATAGAACAATTATAACTATTTACAACGCATAGGTGTCAAATACATTGTCGTTCTTTTTAAAGAAACAATTGAAGCTTCACTACACATCCTCCAACGGTGTTCAACTTAGATTCAAACATATTCACAATGCATAGTGTTCGGTAGTCACGTACTGCTTATTATTGTGCCACTAGAGATCCTGGTTCGAATCCAGGCTCTGTTGTAGCCGGCCGTGACCGGGAGACCCATGGGGCGGCGCACAATTGGCCCAGCGTCATCCAGGGTAGGGGAGGGAATGGCAGGCAGGGATGTAGCTCAGTTGGTAGAGCATGGCGTTTGCAACGCCTGGGTTGTGGGTTCGATTCCCATGAGGGGCCAGTATGAAAAAAATAAAATAAAAAATAATGTATGCACTCACTAACTGTAAGTCGCTCTGGATAAGAGCGTCTGCTAAATGACTAAAATGTAAAATGTTATTGGAAGAGGACATGTTCTAATACTGGATCTTCCTAAGACTATACCAACGGACTGTGATCAACAACACGATGTATAGAAGTTCTTCTGACGCTGACTACACCAACAGGAGACTTACGGGGAGGGAGGGAGACGTTCCATTCATTCCAGATCTTATGTTAACTCATCTTATTTAGTTATGTCTATGGTGGATTTCTGCAGGGGGAAACGGGGAGAGATTCATGATTGGTCTCTACTCTACAGACCTGGGTTCAAAGACTATTCAAGATCTAGCCAGATGGGCAGGGTTTTCACTTTTAGTTCCAAGCTCAGTCACAGCTGAAGTGTTTGTAATGATATGGAATAGTATTTGAACCCAGATCTGCTACTCTGCCATGCACCAGGATGAAAAGCTCCATTTCAGACCTGGAGAGAATGAAGAGAACCATACTGGTTAACCCCAGTCACTACAGCCTCTGGCCTGCGTAAGACTTAACCGTACGGTGCAGACTGGTTGACCCCAGTCACTACAGCCTCTGGCCTGCGTAAGACTTAACCGTACGGTGCAGACTGGTTGACCCCAGTCACTACAGCCTCTGGCCTGCGTAAGACTTAACCGTACGGTGCAGACTGGTTGACCCCAGTCACTACAGCCTCTGGCCTGCGTAAGACTTAACCGTACGGTGCAGACTGGTTGACCCCAGTCACTACAGCCTCTGGCCTGCGTAAGACTTAACCGTACGGTGCAGACTGGTTGACCCCAGTCACTACAGCCTCTGGCCTGCGTAAGACTTAACCGTACGGTGCAGACTGGTTGACCCCAGTCACTACAGCCTCTGGCCTGCGTAAGACTTAACCGTACGGTGCAGACTGGTTGACCCCAGTCACTACAGCCTCTGGCCTGCGTAAGACTTAAACCGTACGGTGCAGACTGGTTGACCCCAGTCACTACAGCCTCTGGCCTGCGAAGACTTAACCGTACGGTGCAGACTGGTTGACCCCAGTCACGCAGCCTCTGGCCTGCGTAAGACTTAACCCGTACGGTGCAAGACTGGTTGACCCCAGTCACTACCGCCTCTGGACCCTGCGTAAGACTTAAACCGTTACGGTGCAGACTGGGTTTGACCCCAGTCACTACAAGCCTCTGGCCCTTGCATAACTGGTTGTACAACTAATGTGATAAAGCGAGAGATTCCCCTACACATTTGACAAGCTCAGTCTTCAGTGAAGCAATTCAGAATATCAATCCATCATGGTTTGCGTTGTTCTAGAGGCCTGTGAGCATCTAAATGGTGTGAGGGTAATTTTGTGTCTTTCGTCTTTTGCTACTGTTGCTGTGGCGTGAACACCGATTCCATGCAAATATGTTATTGGACTGGTGTAAGAGAGATGGTGGAAACTCCATCTAGCCCATGCATAGTCCTACACCAATCCAATGTTTTTAAATGTGTGGGGGAGAATTGGTATGCATGCACATTGCAATCCCTGTCTGTCCCTGTGGTCAGCCCCTCTCTGAACCCAACTCCAGTAACCACAACCAACCATTGTCTGAAGCCTGGCTGGCTGGTTCCACACGAGGCAGGCTGCCAACCGTGTCTGAAGCCTGGCTGGCTGGTTCCCCACGAGGCAGGCTGCCAACCGTGTCTGAAGCCTGGCGGGCTGGTTCCACACGAGGCAGGCTGCCAACCCGTGTCTGAAGCCTGGCTGGCTGGTTCCACACGAGGCAGGCTGCCAACCGTGTCTGAAGCCTGGCTGGCTGGTTCCACACGAGGCAGGCTGCCAACCGTGTCTGAAGCCTGGCTGGCTGGTTCCACACGAGGCAGGCTGCCAACCCGTGTCTGAAGCCTGGCTGGCTGGTTCCCCACGAGGCAGGCTGCCAACCGTGTCTGAAGCCTGGCTGGCTGGTTCCACACGAGGCAGGCTGCCAACCGTGTCTGAAGCCTGGCGGGCTGGTTCCACACGAGGCAGGCTGCCAACCCGTGTCTGAAGCCTGGCTGGCTGGTTCCCCACGAGGCAGGCTGCCAACCGTGTCTGAAGCCTGGCTGGCTGGTTCCCCACGAGGCAGGCTGCCAACCGTGTCTGAAGCCTGGCTGGCTGGTTCCACACGAGGCAGGCTGCCAACCGTGTCTGAAGCCTGGCTGGCTGGTTCCACACGAGGCAGGCTGCCAACCCGTGTCTGAAGCCTGGCTGGCTGGTTCCCCACGAGGCAGGCTGCCAACCCGTGTCTGAAGCCTGGCTGGCTGGTTCCACACGAGGCAGGCTGCCAACCGTGTCTGAAGCCTGGCTGGCTGGTTCCCCACGAGGCAGGCTGCCAACCGTGTCTGAAGCCTGGCTGGCTGGTTCCACACGAGGCAGGCTGCCAACCGTGTCTGAAGC